TAGGGAAATAGAAATAAAAATAGAGAAAATACATGCAAATAAATGGAAATAAACCAGTGGAAAGAATATTCAAAGTATAGAAATGCATAAAATACTTTCTGTATTTTGATGACATTTACTATTAAAGGTTGTATTAAAATGTTAGCTATCATTAAAAATATACATGAATAATGTGGGTTAGTACTGTAGAAAAATGTGTTATGTTTATGGATTTATTTTTAGGACCTCTGTGAGGCTGTTTATAAGAAATTTGCTATAAATTCTTCTTAAGTGTAAAGGCATATATATCTCTTTTATATTCATCTTTGGTGTTTTCTTGAATTCTAACTGATATGGCTTTAGTAATACAATGTAAGATTATGTGTCATATAAAACAATCAGATGTCTCTATTCTCTTTCTTTTAACCCTCTTCAAATTCAGTTTTTATTTCTTCAAAGAAAACCCATGAACATTAGGGAACATGGCTTTAATTAAATGTAATTTGTATGTTGACTTACACCTTTGAAGAACATTGGTTCATTTTTTTAACTAAATTAGAATTTTTATGTTGTCCTGAGAAGAAAAAAAAACGAACAAGGCAGAATCATATTTCTCACTTTCAAGTCAGGTGAGATTGGCTATAAACAGGTCAGTAACTGGGGCTCTCTGCCATCTTATCTATAACCTCTTGTAGAAATGAGTCTCTGTAGAGTCAAATTATGAACTTAATTGGGGAAATTTCTTTTGCAAAAGACCCTCCTAAGTAAACAAGCAGCTACCTGAGATGAACTAATTTGAAAGTAAGGCTGCTGCAAAACAAAAAAATGAGTCATAATGATAAACAGTTTTTCTCTCTGTCTCCTCCTTTGTCTTTTTTTAACCATCAAGTTTAAAGCTTCTACAGTGCTTTTTTTCTACTTTATAGGAGACAACTGACATTCTGTGGTAAATGGAAGAAAGAGCAGAGCAGAACTGAAAATCCTCTAATGCACTGACACTAACTTGCCCTCTATTGTTGAAAATGAGCAGGCAATCATGATTGTTCATCAAATGGCTCCTAATGCAGTTAAAGCATTCAGCTATAATTTCTCCTTGCATTTATAATTACTGTCATAGACTGCACACCTCAGTGAGCAGATTAAAGCTATAAACTATTTAGCCGTAGCTTTAAGATGAGGAACTTGATTTGTCTGGCAGCAGTTATTTGTTAGAGAGCTTGACACTTCACATAAAAATGACTCAACTTGATGAAGAACAATGCAGTTTAAGCAATGCAGTGATTTTAAATCAGTCATTATACCACGCCCTGTAAGAATTGCAAAGCAATTTGTTAAATGATATATAGGACTTGTAGATAACTGTATGTGTTAAGTATACCAAAATAGAAGATTTTTTTTCTTCCGTGGATTTTATTTTCTCATCCCTCTGAAACAGTAGGAGCTGCTCTGAACACTATGTTCCACTATTAGCCAATATTGGCGTTACATGGGCAAGGACAATTGTGTGAATTCATAGTCCAAAACTCTGGTTGAGAGAATTTAGCTTGCTCTTCATCTTTCATTTCTTCTTAGCAACAAACATTAACAACTGAGAGACCCTTTCTGGAGAATCAGACATGCTGGGATGCAGATGCCTGCAGTTGTGTCACCACAATTTGTAAGCAGAATTTACCAACAAAACTGAGGGTTCTGCTCACCATGTCATCAGCCAGAAAGAGAGGCTTCGTCGCAATGAGAGCTGTGATTATTCAGTTTGAATGGGACTTTTCTGACAACATCTTGTTGGAAAATGACTTCTTAATGGTAAAAAAATTCCATGGGGAAGTCCTGTTTTAAAACAGACTTTTGTTGGGGTAAAGTAGGTAAAATAGCTGAGCACCATGAAGGAGAGGAGACAGGGGAAAGGTCTTTCAGTTGTGCCGTAGGGGAGACCCAGAGCCTATCCTGAGCAAGGAACTACCTTCAACCTATCACTCCTTGCTCAAAATAGTCCTGTTCTGGTGAAGCCTCAGTTCTCCATATCCTGTGAAATTTATCACTGTTTCCCCAGAGTGTTAGGTTGGGATTTATTTATTTATTTTTATTTTGCATTTTTAAATCTTCAGAGAGTTCCTGGACAGCATTTTTTCAATCTAGCAACACTCCTTTTAAAACCAATAATAGTGTGTTCTTGGCTTCCCTGAGAGCAGGGTCAGGCTAGATGATACATCAGAGTGTGTCAGCACAGACATATCAGTGCAGATCTACTTGCTTTTTATGAATACTACAGGTTGCTA